AAGAATGCACTGACAGTACCGCACCTACACTCTTTTTCGCAGAATTCGCACTCTGCGGCCCTCGACGTCACGCGCCAGCCTGCGCCAGTCTCAGCCGCAGCCTGCGGCAGCTCATGCCGTTGGACTCGTACGGCTCGCTGTCCGGCTCGAAGCCGCATCGCGAGTAGAAGGTCTCGCTGGTCGCCCAAGCCCCCACGGAGAGCTCGTCGCGCCCCTCGGCGCGAGCGGCTTCCGCCGCCGCGCTGACGAGCGCGGCGCCGACGCCCTGCCCCCTCGCGGCGGGCACTGCGACCACCTGCCGCAGCCTGCCGTCGTGCAGCATCGCGGTGCCCAGGAGCTCCGCCTCCTCCTCCCCGCCCTGGCCCGTGCACCGCACGGCCGCGAAGAAGGTCGCCTCGCCGTCAGCGGTGTCGTAGTCGGCAGCGGACGGCGGCGGCGATTCGCGCGGCCAGAGGAGGGACGCGCGCAAGCCGAGGCAGCGGCCGTAGAGCGAGGCATCGGAGGCGCGGGAGAGGCGGCGCACAGTGAAGCCTCTCCCACGGCCGCCTTCGCAGCCGCCTGGCGGCGCGAGCGGCGAGTCGACGACCCTGCGGTGCTGCCTGAGCCAGGCGAGGGCGCAGCTGCAAGTGTGGACGGCGGGGAGCAGCATGTCGCCGCCGTGCATCGCCGACAAGACCGCCTGCAGCGGCACCTCCTGCGCCGTGAGGTGCTCCTCGGCGTCGAGTGCGCCGTGAGCCGGGTCGGGCTCCGGGTCGATGCAGAGGAAGGGAGTGAAGCGGTTGCGGCACCACTTTGCCTCGAGGACGCCGGGGTGGTCGGGCGGAAGGAGGCAGACCCACTCGCCGCCGCGAAGCTGCGCCTCCTCGGACAGCTCGGCGCGTGCGGCTTCCGCGCGGCTCGCGTGCTTGCGCGGATCGAAGCCCCCCGTCGGCAGGTTTGCGAGCGAGCCACGCTGCGGCAGCGCAGCCTGGGCAAACTCGCGGAGCAGCACGGCCGAGCGGCGAGCGGTAAAGTAGACAAAGACGACGACGAAGTGGTGCTCGTTCTTTGGGTGACCCACGATGTCAAACGCAACCTCTCGGCCGTCCGGGTAGCGCACAAGCCGACTCTCGACCCGAAGGTAGCGGTCGTGCAGCGTGGACTCGGAGAGGATCGCAAAGTCAGCAGACATGGAATTGCCGCGTCTCCGCGCCCGCTTCACGTTTCCCTTCTCCGACGGCGTAATGAGCGGTTACTCACGAGCGGGGCGGCTCTGGTGTGTGAGCGCGCGGGCTTCTGACTGTCGTTGCTGCCTCTCCCTTCTCGACTGGTCCCGGTGCTGGCCGGGGTTCTTCAAAAAAGAAAAAACGCCATACTGGCCTGTACAAGTTGGCCTGTAGAAGGGGTTCCGGCAACCCAGAGGGAAACCAGAGGGTCCCCAGCACTTTGCGTTTCCGGAAGTTTCCAGGGAAACCAGAAGGGTGTTTGGTGCTCCATTCTGTTTCTCTCGAGTTTCCCTCGGGCCTCGCTCGGGAAACTCGCGAGTTTCCCTGAGTCTGAGAGAGAGATTTTTTGAAGACCAACAAGAAATCACGTTTGAGTCGGAGAGCTGTTCAGAGAGAGAGAGATTTTCAATACCAAACAACTCTAACACTCACACGTCGTTTGGGTCGTGGAGCCCTGTTCACGCGCGCGCGAGACGTGCATCCCCCTGGAGGAACTCCGCCGCCAGCTTCCTGTGGACCGCAATCACTGCGAGGGCCGCCCGCGCGTGAGCGGCTCCGTCGTCGAAGTCGAGGCCAAAGCGAGCCAGCGCGGCATTTCGGATGGGTCTCGGGAGTCGGAAGGGGTCCGCCGAGGGAGAGCCACGCGGGGGCTTTTCTTTTTTCTCGTGGTGTGTGCCAGTCCGCGCCAGTCCGTATTCGTGCTGTGATAAGCGTTCATCTTCGAAGGCCACAAATGGTCTGCACCGGCGCCCACGCCGCTCTTCTCTTCGCCGTGGCGTACCACCCACGCCTCAGCCACCCTGGCGGCATGCTGCGAGCGAGAGCGCCTGCTGTGTCACTGACGGCCGAACAGGAGGAGCAGCAGCGGTCTTGGCAGAGGGTTCAGAGGTCTGCTTCGGAGCGGTTTCTGCCGCGGCTGGACGTGCTCCGCTCCGGCGAGGCACCGGCACCGTGGCGGCTGCCTCCGGCGTACCGCGCGATGCTCGCGCAGCTGCTCGTCAACGCGGCGACGGGGGATGAGGGAGCCTTGGCGGCGCGGCGTGCGTGGGATGCGTTCGTCTTTGCTCTCCGGTACCACCGCCGCCAGTACCGCGCCTCGGGCGAGCCGTACGTAACGCATCCGCTCGAGGCGCGCAGCGGCAGCGCTCTCCCCCCCCCGGACCTGCCTCCCGCCGCCTCCTCTCCTCCCTCGCCCGCCTCTACCTCTCCCTCCCTCCCGCCGCCTCCCTCGCCCGCCGCCTCCCTCGCCACCCGCCTCCCTCGCCACCCGCCGTCTCGAGCCGCCTCCCTCGCGAGCAGGTCGCCTCGATGCTCGCCAAGGCGGAGGCGGACCTCCCCTCCATCATGACGGGACTTCTGCACGACACCGTCGAAGACACCGGCGCGACACTCGAGCTCGTCACCGAGCGATTCGGCCCCGAGGTGTCTGCGCTCGTCGACGGCGCGGAGCAGCCCCAGCCCCAGCCCTCTCTCCCTCACACCAACACCAGCAGCACCCCCCGCCCCCATAGCCCACTGCACTCCCCATCCCAGGCCCGGCCCGAGGCGCCCCTCCTCCTCCCCTCGCCCCTCCTCCTCCCCACCCCTCCTCCTCCCCGCCCCTTCCCCCAGGCGTGACCAAGCTCTCGCGGCTCGAGCTCGCGCGCGAGATGCAGCCCGGGGTGCAGCCCGCCCTCCAGGCCTCGCCCGCCCTCAAGGCCTCGCCCGCCGACACAGCCGGCGGGCAGGAGCCCTCTCGCTCCGAGAAGCAAGCGGCCAACTTGCGCAAGCTCGTGCTGCCCATGTCGCAGGCAAAAGCCCCCCCCCGGCTCCCCCCCCCCCCTCCTGGAAAAACTCGCATGTATTCCTGCTAAAGTCCAGGTTTACCCCATAAATACCTGACGCGTC